ATATATATATATGCGCAAGAGATCAAGCTGTCGGCTTTGTACTTTTGCCGCCGCCGCTCCTCCGGTCGACCGGGCTCTACCAGTTGCTGGCGTCTCAAAGCGTGGTAATCCGGAGGGGAAGAGCTTGGTGGAAATGTTTAATTTAGAAGACGATTAACCCTTATGGGAGTTCAGAGCATTTAGATGGAGAGCACCGAATGTATCGGAGTGTTCTCGATGCTTTCAACGCGGAGTTAGCATCGAAGAACAATATAAGAAAACATTTCCTTTGCCCTTGCTGTTGCAGCCCCTCCACCTCTTTCTCTCTATGCGAGCAGTCCCAGCCTAATTTACCAAGGCTTAGCGAGACAGTGAAAAAGTAGCCGTCGCCGCCACAGTGCTGCCGCCGCATCCCCGCTTCATCGGCGACGTTGAAGATGAAGGCCAGCTCCTCTGCCGTTGAAGAGGACTCGTCGCAGTCGAAACTTGTCGCCGACCGTTATCTCAAACGGGAGTTGCTTGGTGAAGGCACGTATGGTGTCGTCTTCAAGGCCATCGATACACAGGTCTTATTTCTATTCGGTTGTTCCACTTCTAAATTATTTCCGTTTTGATTATTATTAGGGTTTCTAGACTCTATTTGAACGAATTGATTGTTCAATCTAATAGTTTTGCTGCTTTCAACATATATATTTCTATCTTTCAAATGTATAATTGGGCAAATGAAACTGTGCATCAAGCCAGTGCATTAATTTACAATGCTGCCATTTGCCTGTTTGTGGATGTTTTATGGATGGTCTTATGTTAGGGAATTTAAAATTTAAATCTATATCCAATTCAGACAAAGAAAGTAACACCACATTCTGCATAGAAATTGACGTTTTTGTCTAAATATGTGGCTTCTGAAACAGTAAGGTTGGATTTGAGGCAGAAATTTAATTTTGATATTGCAAGGCTGCTATTCAGAGGGTTCAGATTCTCTCCAATTACGACGACATTAAGAAAGGGGCAGTTAAGCAATTCTAACTGTTCAGTGAACTCTAGATGGCTTGTATCAAATCTATCAAGGTGCAGTGCTTTTGTGGCAAGTTGAGAGATTTAATCCTAGCCCCCAAAAATATACCATACATTTGAGATTTCTGAACGAAACCAATGTAGTAACCATTGCAACAAGAGATGATTCAAACCCTTTCTTGGTGGAGTTATTGCTTTGGATTGCTTAATCTTTTATCTTGTTATAGGCACATTTTGCTGGGCCTATTGGATCACAGAGCGTGTCTTCTTTTCAAAGTGCACCTTAGCATTGCCATCATCATAAGTATTATAACAAATTTTTAAGAGTTGGGTGTTCAATTCCATCAATGTTTTTCATGTGATTTTATTAAGTAGCCTTATCTCCACTTTCTTGCCTTGAAATATTACCTATCCTGTCACAATCAATGAAAAGATTGGCATCATTGCTACATATGTAGTAGAAGTGATGATGTTGAACTATTAAAGGTTGATACATGTCCTGATGTTTTTTAGAAGGAAAGCCCAAAACAAATTTTGAGCTTTTTGAAGGGGTTATTTTCAATATAACTACAATCATAGATAATACACGACCAATGATAAAATTATAAAGAGATTTAAAGAAGATTCTGAAGAGGATGTCTTTACTAGCAAGAAGAGAACGGATATGCTTTACATCATTAAGCAAAGGTATGGATTTTTATGCTATGCTATGTATGGACTAATATGATAGTTGTTTTGAGAGAAAATAATGAAGTTGAATTACCCAGAAAAGTTGAAAGAGACCATGAAATTTAACTTCTAAGGAGCAATTTAAGAACCATTTGGCTTTAAAAAAAATTGCACAATGCTTTCTAATAAGTATTTTGAAAATTTGGAAGAGTGGTTTTCATAACATTTCTAGTAAAATGAGAGCAAGCGAAAGATTTTTCTACCATCATTTCAAAAAAGATTCGTCCCTTTAGGATATTTAACTTGAATACTAGGATTGATTGTTCTTTTGCATGGTCTTTCAAATCCATAATGGAAGAGAAAAAATGATATTCTTAAGATTGAGAATATGAAGAGCGCCGAATTTTAATTTTGCCTACAGATAAACAATAAAGCACATACATAACACGACATGGGCACGAATATACGACATAAATGTAACAATTAGATACGTATGTCATTTACACAATCTTATTTAATAAATTATTAGACAGAGTGAACCTCAAATTTTATGGAATAATTTAAGCTGCTGTAAAACAAAATGCAAATGGCACTTTGAGAAAAGGCTTCTCATTTGATCTTCCTACACTTGTTGATCCTTGAAAAGATTTTCCATAAACACTTGAGAGTTCAAATTTGATAAGAATCGTAGGGTAATGCAGCCAGGACGCATAAGAATAAAATTTTAAATATCATATAAAAAGAAAGGATTTTAGATTGAAAGAATAAGAAACTTTGCATATTTTTGGTTTCTTCCTTAGTGGGATTTGCAATGAAGAATTTCTTGCTCGCTCCCAAATTTCGTAGGATAAATAGATTTGGAGTGAAAAAATCCATCATGCAAGCGAGAAACAACAAAAAAAAAAAGAAAAAAAAATCACAAGTTTTGCTTAGGCTTGACAAACGCGTTGGAGTTGCTAGGGGTATTGGAGAGACTCACTTGCTCGTTGTGCTATATTTTGGTCGAAGAAGAGGTAGTGACGATGCACATGATCATTGCGATTGTCATAGAATAAGAGTCGTATTTGATATGCATGTGAACATAATGCACATGGGATATGCATTTGATTATTAATTATTTTGGCATGTTTGATTTTTATTTCTCTTGTTTTGCATGGTTGGCATGCCAAGAGTGTGTAACTCTTATGTCTATGTGTCTTCATGTCGTACTCGACATGTGCTTGAATTAGTTTTCACGCTGAATGACCTAGACACAATTTTGAATGTTTAGACTTATGACAGAGTGCGTCAGTGTTGTGTTAATGTCTTTCTCATGTCCGAATTAGACATGTAAGGATTTTAGAAGTGTGTGGCTCATAGCACATAGATTTCCATCTTATCAAGTGCATTACCTTGCCACTGTTGGTATCCTTATCGAAGAAATATATCTTTCATATTATCAAATCTTTTGATCAATTACCTTGAAATTTTTAAAAAATGGAGATACAATACAAAAATAGGAGATATGCTATAGTTATAAGAGTGATTTTCCCACTTTTATCTAAAGTCTGCCTTTCCTACTAGCAAGATTATTTTGAATACCGTCAATCGCCAATGCTCCATAGGGAATTTTGAATCTTTTTAGAACCTATAGTGATGTTATTAGTAGAATTCAAGCTTGAGAAGATCTAGTGTAGGTCTTTAGAGTCCAAAGGCATTCGTTTGAGTAAATCTAAAAATGAATACATGGAATGCAATTTTAATAGTTTTAGATCTAGTGGCAGAGTTGTAAGAAGGGTGATCAAATCATTAGAAAGAGTGACATTTTAGATATCTCGGGCCTATTGTTCAAAGTGAAGGTGATATAGATGGGGTTGTTATTAGTAGAACTCAAGTTGGAAGGTTGAAGTGGAGGAATGCATCGGGCCTATTGTGTGATAGAAAAGTACCCCTTAGATTAAGGAAAATTATAATATGGTGGTGAGACCTGTAATTTTTTATGGCGCAAAATATTGGCCTATAAAAGAGAATCCTAAAACTAAGTTAAGTGTTGTTGAGATGAGAATGCTTAGGTGGATGAGTGACTTGACACTTAGTGTCAACATGCAAAACGAATGTATCTACGAAAGGGTGGTTGTAGCTCTAGTAGTAGACAAGATTAGAGAGTCGTCTTAGATGGTTTGTTCACATTAAACGTTAACCATCTCATGTTCCAGTTAGGAAAGTAGATGTTTTAGATTCAACTTATGCTAAGAAAGGTAGAGGTAGACCTAAAAAGACTTTGGTATGTTGTATAAAATATGATCTTAATTCATTAGAATTAAATGAAGATATGACAGACACTCTATAGGACACAATTGAAAAAAAGAATTCATGTAGCCTACCCCACTTAATGGGATAAAGACTTGTTGTTAGAACCTATAAGGACATCATTTGATTGCAACTGACTTAACATTTGATTAGAAGATTAGTGGGCTTCATGTTGGAGCAAGTTGAGTTGACTCAATTGTTATGAATGGCCTCTCATTAGAATCTCTAATGTTGTCAGGTGGATTCGTAGCTAGGTGTAGTATTGCCAAGGAGAATGCAAGCCATGGTGAAGCTCGAGAAGGATCTCATGAGATTGCTCGGGGATCAAATGCCGAGCACCTAGTTACCTAAGATATGGACAGGTAGACCTAAAGAAGATAGTCAAGCATTTTGAAGTGGTGAAGGTGTATCGTGCGATAATGATTTCAACCAAACAACGCATGCTAAAAATTCATTGTCATAAATTTTTGTATTTTTCAAAAATAGAGTCATGATTATCATATCATGTAAGGTGCCAAAATCAATGCCATACCTAATAATTATCCCATCAATAATAATAAAATTTTCCTTTGTCTATAAAGAAAAGTTGGATGGAAACCCTTAACAATGTTTCCATTGTGTCTTTAGTGATACAGACATCTCCCACTACGGGGCGAGAAGTGCGGGGGCATCTCCTGCTACTGTGCGGGACGTAGGACTCTTGCGACCATGCAGGTTTCAGTTTTTGTGCCAAGATAGATTCATTCTAGTTTTTCCGCTGTCGTGGAGCCGGTCGGTCCTCTTGAGCCACTCCTCGCTATCCTATTGTTATATATTTGTATTTCTGATATATATAAATTTAGTTTTTGTGTGTTTTATATTAGTACAGCCGCTGACGTCTCTTCTTCTCTTCGAGGGTTGTATCCTAGGGTTTCAGGTGGTGCGAGGTTTTATCTTGGTCTTCAGGTGGTGTGTATGTTCCCTATACCTTTTCATATCCCTCCTGCTTTGCTGCTACGCCTACCTCCTCGCTGCAGGCCGCCACGACAACTACCCTTTTTTTTTTTCCTGCAAATTTCTTTTGTATAGACCTTCCTCCTCACTGCCATTGCTGTTCCAACCTTCCACCTTTGTTGCCACTGCTATCTAGCTTTTCCTCTTTGCTGCCGCCACCATTTCAGCTTTCCATTCTTGTTGGCATCACCCTGGACAGTCCTCCCACACCGCTCCTTGTTGTTTTTTTTGCTGTCTAGCACCGAGGAAACAACCATCTTGCTATTTTCTGCTTGTAAATTGCCTTTTCTACCCCACATCACCTTTTAAATCATCGTCAATCACCACCACCACCACTACCACCCATGGATCTACCCCCTAGCTTGAGTTTGTGTTGTCAGTTGTTGCAATTTCAATTTCCTGTATGTTGGTTGTAATTTCCTATTTAATTTTAGTAATAAAATTTGGTTTTCGATTATTGTATGGTTAACTTTGATATTATTTGTTATCATATCTTGGCTAACCCTTGTCTTTTCCTCGTGTTTTTAGCACCCACTAATACCCAACGCTTCCTTTGACTGATTTTCCAAATTAGCCCCTAAAAGATTTCTTTCCCAACCGA